TGTTGGTTGGTTCTATGTTAACCTGATACAAGCTAGAGTCATTTTGGGGGAGGGACTCTCAATGGAGAAAATGCCTTCATAAAACCAACCTACAGGCAAATCTGTCTGCATTTTCTTGATTAATGATTGGTGTAGGAAGGGCCAGAGTACTATGGGTGGTGCCAACCCTGGGCAGGTGCTCCTCAATTTTAAAGGAAAGCAAGCTGAGAAAGCTTTGAAGTACAAGCCAGTAAGCAGTACTCCTTCGTAGCCTCAGTTTCAGTTCCTACCTTGACTTCCTGCCCTGACTTCCATTCATGATAAACTGTGATTAGAACATGTAAGCTAAAATCAACCCTTTCCTCCCCAAGTTGCTTTTGGTCATGGTGTTTTATCTTAAGGATAGAAGCCTTAACCAAGACCTAGGAAGGATATAATCTAAATCTTGGAAACCAGACGAATTAACAACCACCAATATAAAGTGAGAACCAAAAGTTTCCAGAGATTATTGTCTGAACAGTGGACCTAAGCATATACATGGTATGGTGAAGTCACGTTCATTAGTACTGTTAGTCTTGGTTATCAGAGACATGTAGGCTATTAACAGAAATTGACAGTCAGGCATAAAAAGCAAACCAACCTCCCCCACAATTACATATCACATGGTAAGTATTGTGAACTTAGAAGACTTAGAATTCAGTCCATTTGTCAAATCACCTTAGTATTCCTTGTATGAAAATTAGTGTACTTGACTCAGCTGCATGTGGAGAGGGTGGTACATTGGGTAGTTGTAGAAGAGGAAACTTGGTTTTATTCTTTCAAGATTTTATAGTTTATTCTGAAAGATAACGGCACATGTAACCTGTTTTCATTTCATTTCTGTAGCTGTAATAAAATACTCTGGCACGAATGCAACTTGGGGGAAGAAGTTTATTTCATTTTACAATTCTAGGTTACTGTCCAACACTAAACAGAAGTCAAGGCAGGGACTTTAAATAGCTAGTCACATCACATCCATAGTCAGGAGCAGAGAGAAATGCATATATGATTGTTTGCTTGTTTGTGCTCAGCTCCATTTCCCTACTCTTATACAGTTTGTGAACCTGCTTAGTGAATTGTGCCATCCACAGTGGGCTAGGTCTTCTGGTATCACTTAACTTAAGAAAGACAATGACCCATAGACATGTCTATAGGCCAATCCAATGTAAATAATCCTTCATGGAGACATTCTTCCCAGGTGATTCTCATTGTTTCAAGTTAACAGCACTAACCATCATAGAATCTAACCACTGAAGATAAATGAATCAGGTATCATAAAATAAAAATAAATTTGTTAATTATGGAGCTCAAGAATCTGTAAGATTCATTGGAAGAGGGCTTCCTAGAGAAAGCAAACTTTGTCCAGATGTTTAAGATGTGACAGCCTATGAATTTGTAGTGACCAAACAGATCTCTGATTTGAACTTAGTTTTAATGGATTGAATAAGTAATAAATACAAGCTGATAACCTCATTAGTTTTGCTGAGGAGCCACCACTTGAAAAACAATTAGGAGGTGGTCAGCAAATGGCTGATGCAAAAAGGATCTTGAATAATAAAATCTTACTAATTTGTAGTATGTTTAAATAAGGCACTCATTAGACTGGTCTCAAGTTCAACTGCTACACAATGTTCTACACGTTAAGTGGAACCCTCATTGCTCTTACTGTGTGTACTTTTTACATTGTAGAAGTATTGTGCATATCATTTTATATTTTACATTTCTCACTTAATCCTCTGTCATAAACATTTTCTCTGCTTTTGAATACTTACAGTCACTTTGGCAGTATAAAAATTCATCATGTTGATCTACTGCCATTGACTGAACCACTGAGTTACTATGCCATATTTAGAATGTTTATTTTATTCTTAGTGGGCTGCAATAAATACTGTTTGCATATTCCATTAATTCTTTCATCCAATTATTTTTAGAGCTCATAGCCACAAAAAGAGATTTATTGCAACGAGGGTAGGCACAGTTCTTGCCACTTTACTATTCTGATGTTGAGATTCTGTCAACATTGCTTTCCTACAAGCAAAGCCAGGGGGCATCCTTTTTTTCTGACATCTTTGCCAAGAATAGGTTTAGCCATTAGAAATGCTTACATTCATTTTTTAGTTTTAAAATGTTAGCTTTAATGCTGATCTACCTAGAGTTTTTCTCTTATTTGGAAATAGTCATTTCCTTAATTTCAACTCAGGCAAAGTATATGTTGTTTTCATGTGGCATTTTGACAAAACAAAACCAAAAAAATCCACTTTTCTTTCCCAAGTAATAAGAATTATTGAATGGCTATGAGATTTTATGTAAGTACCAAAAAAAATAGTAGCACAAGAGCAAATCAATAGAATGTTTCTGTTCTCTTCATAGAAAGCCTTAACATGTCTTAATCAGTGAACTTATCAACTATTTCTACGTCTTTCTACTTACCTATATACTTATCTCTATCTATCAATCCTATGTATTCTATCAATCCTATATATCAACATCTAAGTGTCTATCATCTATCTCTATTTACTACGTATGTATGTATGTATGTATGTATGTATCTATCTATCTATGTATCTGTCATCCATCATCTATCTATCTATCATCTATCTATCTATCTGTATGTATGTATGTATCTATCTATGTATCTATTTATCTTCTATTTATCTATTTTATCTTCTTGTCTCTACATCAGCTACCAATCACCTATCTACATAACTATGACTGCATTTATCTATGTATCTGTTTATATATCTTCTATCATCAGCCATTTTTCATCTATCTATCTATCTGTCATCTGTCTATCCATCTATAAAGTTAGAATGCTACTTACTGCTGTGACAGGTTCCTATAGTAAGAGGTAGGTCTGCTTATTTTTACTCTTCACTGTTCTTTCTGCTAAAGCAAAATAAATTCAATATTCTTTTATAAGAAAAATATGTATACTTGAAAACATAATCCATGACTGATGGTTGTCCCATAAGTTGAAATAAAATGTGTTTGAGAATAGATGTACTATTAGGAAAGATTTGCTGTAGATTTTTTAAAGAATCAGGCATACAGAATATATTTTTCCCTTTTGAGTTCAATAAACCCTATATAAACACAACATATTGATTGCTGGAAGGATACTAAAATGAACTGAGTTGTGATTTAGTCTTGAACAAACTTTCCATATACCAGGAGAGATAAACTATATAGACAAATAGCAACAAGATATGGAGCTATGAGAGAATTCTTTGACTGGAGAGTAAATAAAATTTGCATATACAGAAGAAACTTGCTTTACTGGTGGAAGGCCAGCATTGTTTGTAAGCAATGAATATATTCTAGTTGAGAGGATTGAAGTTGGGAGGAGGATATTCAAAGAAGAAGGGACAACAGACAAGCCCACAGTGCCAACAAATGTGAGAAGGGAAAATTGGGGAACCGAATTCAGATTCCTGGACATCTCTCCAGCCAGAGGGTCAGGCTCATAGTGAGCACATGAAGGTCAAGGGAGAGACCTGAGAAGTGAGGCATATGAGTTCAAAAGTCCTTGCTTTGAGAATAAAGATATTTCAGAAGCAGAGCACCAAGGTTGGCAGTGTCTCTACTCCATTTTGAACATTTCTTTTCTTTTTGATTTTTTTGAGACAGGGTTTCTCTGTGTAGCTTTGCACCTTTCCTGGATCTCACTCTGTAGCCCAGGCTGGCCTTGAATTCACAGAGATCCACCTGGCTCTGCCTCCTGAGTGCTGGGATTCAAGGCATGTGCCACTTCCACCTGGCCATTTTGAACATTTCAATGTGCATTTAGAGGTGGTCAGTTTTCCTAATACATCTTCTGCCCTTTCCTAGTCTCCTCAGATGTGTTCTGTAAATTGTAAACACGAGAAAGAGCAGTGTGTTATACTGAAAAGATAGGAAGACTAAGCAGCATGATCCTAGATCATAGCCAAAGCACTCAAGGTCCCTGGTGTGAGTAAATCTACCTCTTTGGGGCTCAGCTTCCCTACATGTAAATCGGAAAGAATGGACTTTGTATATCCAAAGGTTCTTTCAATTTGAACATCTGAAAAATCTCAGTGTGCTTTTAGATACTTTTAGAATTATTTTCCTTTTGTGTATCTTCTACTCACATATCTGAAATTTTATCTTTAGAATTTCGTTTCTTTGCATTGCAGCTTTGAAATCTTCAGCATTTCCCTTCTCAATTGAAAATAAGCCAAAACCAGTGTAACAAATCAATTGGCTGTCATGAATTCTATAGGATTTAATCATATTAACTACTAATTCCCCAGCCAATGGCTGTAGGAGTAGGGATGTATCATGTGTGTGGTGATTATTGACAAGAAGTGTTAATAATAAAGAATAACAGAAAAGAACACATATAGCCATTAGCCCAAGCTTGCAGAATCAGTGCTGTTCTAGTCCCCACTTCCCAGATGGACCATGGAGACCTTGTAGCATCCTCAAGCACAGACAGCTAATTAGTGGCAGAGTCTGAATCCAGGAAGCTACTGGATATATAACACTACCACATGGTGCTTTTTTCCCCTCCAAAATACAGGTGACAAAACACCTGTAGAGCTACATTCTTTCTCTAGGAACACAAAGATCTCTCTCCATAGGAAGGAGGTGATGGTTGTGGGATGATCAACTGTGCCAATGTTATTCTCCTAACCTCAACATCTTGCTGTGGAATCCTGTGGTCTTGAAGGCCAGTTATTGTTGGTCAAATAATGTAAGGCTTTCTCTTACTTTAGCTGTGGTTGGAAGTGTAGAATAGTAGCTATTCTACTATAGTTGTGTTGATTTGGGTTAGGGAGCTCTGCAGGCACATAGATATAGTTGTTATTTTGGGCACTATGGCCATGTGATTCAGCCATGCCACCTAGTTCTTATTTGGTTTTGTTGCTGTTGTTCCTAGGTCATGTTTGACCGGTGGTTTGACCTATTACCTTTGAGAAATAATTTTCCATAAAAAATCAATCTCTATCTCTCTCTTACAGAGAAATACTTCTGTGTTTGAAAAAAGAGAAAGAAAAAGAGAAAGAAAGAAAAGGAAAGAAAGCAAGGAAGACCATCTAGTCTTCAATACATGCACATGATTTGGTAATAAAAAAATATGTGTTACTATGCTTTGTGATCTTTATGCTGCCACACAAATAAAAGTGTGATAGTTGTATGGTTTTAACATTTATACTCCAAGGGAGTGCTAACTAAGAGTCTTCTGTTGAAAGGAAGCTGATAGATGGTCACAATCACAGATTTTACTATAGCCAGACCAGGGATTCAATCAATTGCTCCATTTGTTAGGCTCTGTATGTTATAAACAACCTAGAATTAGCATGCACACTGATCTCTTAAGCTAGTTGTAAATCTTGAAAGGGATAGTGCATGAAAACGGCTGATCCTAGCTGCACAGTGGGTGCTTGGCAGCTCTTAGCTTTCCATAGTAGTGACTCTGATAGTAATAGAAAAAACTCTTCAAAGCAAAAAGTCAGAGATGAAATAAAACAATTCTAAGCAAACTACCCAGCTTGGATCCCAAGCCCACATGCATTATTCCTGTGTACACAGAACATGCAAGATCAGTTTTGCAAAAAATCTCTCTCTCTCTCTTCTTTAGAAGCTCATTCTTTTGGACCCATTTCTTTCACATCTTGGATCATATTCTAAATTAATTATCTGGGATTAAGGAAAGGCTTATCTACAGGAATAGTCATTGAAGTGATGATTGCAAAGAATCTGAATATCTAGACTCTTTCTAGGAGAGTTTTAACACATAAGGGTATCACTATGATTATGATGGGATATTATTTGACAGGATATTAAGGATGTTGCTGTAAAAGAATGTATAATGATGGGGGTCATTTGCTATTTAGTATTTCAGCAAAATATAAAATCACATTATATTGTAATGGCATTAAAAATAATAAAAGTATAAATTACACACGTAGGATTTTATTGGCTACAGACAAAGATAAAACATTAATGACAACATCAATCTTAGAATGATTTTATGAGTATTATAGGACAGAATGCCACATGTTTGATGTATATATTTGCTTAATCCTTGGATGTAGGTTGAATTTGTTTTACGTTTTATTTAAATTTCATCCTACACTCATCATTCTTTACTAAGATTGTATTGTGTTCCAGGGACTGAGGAAGAAGCTGAGGATGGAGAAATGATTAAATAGGACCACTGAGTGAGAGGAAGGTATATAAATAAACCAAAGAATACTCTACAATGTAAATTCCAAGTCAGCTCCTAAGGCATGAATTATAGTCACAATAATAAGGGCCGTAGCTGTTTAGATGTACTGTTGTGGGGATTTCAGAAAGGTGGGGCTCTCCTAGGGAAATGACTTACTATAGGCATCTCTTCTTTCCAAGGGATAGAAACCAGGCTGGTGTGCAGTCCCATCGACCCCTCAGCAGGGCATGTTTCATGGTCACAGTCAGGGTGCAGTTCACTTTCTTGTACCTAGAAGCTCTGGGAATACCCTTGAAATGTCCTGAAATTGACCGTGAAGCACAATAAATAAGAGTCAATGTCTGTAACCCCAGACAATAATTATTTTGCAGACTGAAGTTTGAGAAATACTGAACTAGATTAAAGACAGAACAAAAGAAAATCTTGTGGGCAGTTGTCTGGATAATCTCTCTTGTGGAGTAAGAGATGGGTGAGGAATGCTAAAGGGCTTCCGTACAGCTGCAGTTTTCCACAGTACAGTTAAAAATTGTGTCTATAACTGCACAGGCATTAACAGCTCTGTTATTAGTGACATCACATTGGGAACTAGATCTGAAAGCACCTTTGTGAGACTTGTGCATGGTAAATTATTTTTAAAATATTATTTCAAGTGCAACCTTGCTTTGTTCATGCTAATGTACTCATTGCACTTTGTTCATATTTTAAAATTTTATTACATTTGTTTACTCTATGTGGGGTGGTGTGTGTGTGTGTGTACCCTGTGGGCATGTGCATGCCACAGAGTGTGTGTGTGTAGGCCAGAGAAGTACCTACAGGAGTTGCTTCTCTACCACGTGGGTCCCTGGGATCAAACTCACATTGTAAGGCTTTGGTAACCAGCGTCTTTACTGACTGAGCCATCTTGCTGGCCCTCTACACTGTACTTCAAACAACTGGGGCTGAAGAGATGGCTCAGAAGTTAAGATACCTGCTGTCCTTGGAGAGAACCTGGGTTTGGTTCCCAAAACTCACGTGGCAGCTAACAACCACCTGTAACTCCAGTTCTAGGAGATACAGTGCCGTTTTAGGCTTCTACAGGCACCAGGCACACACATGATGCATATACATACAGACAAACATTAATACACATATGATAAATATAGATAATTCCAAAGAAAACATTATAGGCAGGTGCTTGTATCTGTTCTATGTTTACCCCAGGGAAGCCTTGCCATGCTAAATAACTATTAGGAGCTATCATCTCCTACCCTCATGACCATTGTATTAGTCGGGGTTCTTCACAGACATAGGAATACTGCGATATAAATCTATATGCACACATACATGCATACTTTTGTAAATAGAAATATACATACTATTTATATGCATGTGTTTCTCTGAAATAGAAGTGTGTGTGTGTGTGTGTGTGTGTGTGTGTGTGTGTGTGTGTGTGTGTGTCTGTTTTACCTTTCAAAGAGGGTTATTATAAGGAGTTGAATCATGGTTATGAAGGCTGAGGTACCCAATCTTTTTCCTTCTGGAAGATAGAAAGCCAGGGATGTGTGTGGTGCAATTCAGTACAAAGTTGGGAGATGAAAGATATCTAAGCTGAAACAGCAATGCAGAAAGAAGAGGGACAAATTTATTTTTCTTCCATTTTTTTCTTACTCAGGCTCTTAATGGATTGTTGCTACTTACTCACATAGGGAACCTACTTCACCAAGCCCCCTGATTCAAATTCGAGTTTTGTGTGGAAACACCATCACAGACAAACTCAGAAACATTATTTGATCTGGGAGTCACATGGACCAGTGAAGTAGTGAACATGAACCATGAACTTAAAGAGTCATCTATCTTGTCAGAGTAGAGAATCTTCTCTTGAGCTAAATAGTGACTGATGTGGATACATGGAGACATGGTGTGTTGGAACAGGGGTCAAGGCAATATGCCCCATAACATGCTCCAAAGAAAGAATGGTTTCTTATGAGTCTCTGAGTGTTCAGTTTTTGACTGTAAACTAAAAAGTAAGCGGTGTTTCTAAGCATCAGTATCTCTGTTAGTCAAAACTATTGACTCTTGTGTCTCACAGTGTTTGCCTGTTTCTCACCCTCTCCTCTGAGGAGACCTGAACTGCTCAGCTCCAAATTCATATGGAATTTTTTTTTCTGATTCCAGACATGGACAGCATGAGCAGAGCAAGAGAAAGAGAAACTCTTACAGGGAGGAAATCATTACCTGGGCAAGAGTTACTAGGACCTAATATAAAGTCTGATTAGATTAGAAAGGGCTTAAACTGCTGAGAAAAAAACAAAAACAAAAAAGGCCCTTCAAACATTCATCTTAAATAATTCTACTCCACTTACCGCATCCAGAAAAAAATCTTAATATTTAACAGAGACAGGCATCCATACCATCATCAAGAAACCATGTTTTTCTAGAAGAATGGAACTAGAATAGGGAAAGAGAGACAAAGAAGTCTTCTGTGACAACCCCTACCCTGACCCCACACTCCAAAACCAGTGATAGCCTAGATGAAAGCCACCAAAGAGAACTCTTAAAAATTGTGATGAGGGTGCTGAGGTGTGGCTCTCCAAACTGATGGCTTCTGGCAGGGGTACAGGTAGGGAAGGACTCAATTTTCTTTAAGGGGCTGGCCACCAGGAGTTTGAGCAAGCTCCAGTTACAAGCAACACAAGTTGGACTTGTCTTTTTTTTTCTTTTTCTCCTATTTTTTTCCAGAGGGGTGTGTTTACAAGAGTAGGGGTGGATTTGGGAGGACTGTGAAGTGATTGTGCTCAGGGTTCATGATTTGAAATACCCAAATTATCAATAAAAATATTATGCAAAAAAGAATAGAGATGTATTGACTATCGTCCTGCCTAGTAATTCAGTAGGAACTGGGACACAGGGATACTTGGATTCTCACCCTGGCATTTAAACTTGATTAATTACATCTACTTGTGACACTTCTGTTCTCTCACTTGTAAAACGAGGACCACAATAAACACAAACTTCTGCTGTCTGGCATTCTCCTCCTCCTCCTTCATTATCTTTGTCTTTGTCTTCATCTTCTTTTCCTTCCTCCTCCTCCTTCTAAGAATAAATGAACTAATACCTAAAAACAACCTAACAAAGACTATGTCTTCATTGTAAAATGCTGTTGTCATTGCTATCATTGATAAAAGTTGCCAGGTATTGTGGGCTATATTCATTATCACAACTTCTGTTATTAAAGTTTATATTATGAACTATTCAAGGAAATAGTTGTTCATAAGGGTTATATTTATTAGAAGGAAATAAATTCAAATAATGTTATATGAACCATACTATGCTTGCTCAAATGTTATTTTTAATTTTTTTACATTTTTAATTGACATATGATGAAATTTAGAGTGTATAGTACTTTCACTTTTATTAATCTATGTAAGACCCATGAGGATACAACTCTTGGAATTTGGTTTATTTATGAAAGTCTCTGAGTTGGCTAGTGGTTAAGACTTCAGTCCTCAGTGATGGCTCACTTACTGAGGAGAACACAGACTCGTCTAAGAAAATTGTATAAGCTTTGGAGTTGCTAGAATGTCAATTTTAATCCTGTATCCCCACTAAGTATCGAACTCTGTGGGCAAACTGATGTTAGAGTCTCAGTTTTCTTACCTGTAAATATTAGAGACACTTGCTGGGAAGATGAGAAGCCAAACAGACTACATGCAAGTCAGGATGATTCTGAGGTACACATCTATGGCAATTACTCAAAAAGTTTCTTCCTGTTTTCATTTCTTCAACCCTGATAATATGCATATTGGCCAATTTCATAGTGAAAGCTTATCAGCATTTCATTCCAGTGGCATCCAGACCTTCTGGGTTTTATAGGATTCTATCTCTAGCTGTTCACTGCTGAGATAGTGGAGAG